ATTACTTATTACTGTATAGAAATTAAAATTTTAATCATAATTTTTATAGCATTCTTAAAAAAGGTTTTGTTATAAATTGTATAAAATTTTTTTCCATAATTCAGAAATTTTTTATCTAGAAAAAAATTAGAAATTCAAAATTAAATAAATTTTTTCAAAAAAAAAAAAATATCAGCTTTGGGATACATTGAATAATATTTTGAATGGTTGGAAATTTCAAAGTATATTTTCAAACATCTCGCGGAATTTATCACTGTCGTAAAAACTAACAGACTGATATGTAGAGAAACAGTTTCACTTGGTAAAGCATTTTTTTCTTAGGGCTTTTTTTTTAGTGCCAAGATTTTCGAATGAAAGTTTTGAATATTTATTCATTGCGAACATAAATAACTTTACTTAGTTTACGCCATCGAGTTTAATGAAAATATCATCTTGGAAACGTATATATTTTTCTAAATTGACTTTTTTTTAATAAAATTTTTTTCCTTTCATAAAAAAGAAGATCCGACTCATGCATTGCGCACATGCATTGCGCAAATCACTGATATTTTGTCCAATCCTTTGCAAAAGAATTTTTTAAAGATTCCTGAAGTGCAAATACATTCCCCAGGTACTTCTATAATAATATCAAATTTATCAAAATAAACTTCAGAGTGGTAATTATTATTTAAAAAAAAGCACATGGTTACGCACAGTTTTCAAAATATAGTAACAGAAAAGATTTGTCACAATTATAATCGTAATTGCTCTTATATTTCCACAATTATTTTTGTCATCTAAGTGTCCCATCACTAGCAAAATCGGAGTTCCGTATACATTTAATGTGACGTTAGGGTCCAAAAAATAGTTGTTAAAAGCGTGCAATTTACTTTCATGGAAATTAATTCTAATCGAATAGAGCTGTAAACTAGTAAAGTTTCAGACATCATGTTTTAAATGAAAGATTCTATACCTAAAGGCAAATCCTATGAAAAAAATTCGTTTTTTGCACTCCTCCTTTAAACGGTCCGGAGTTCTTGTATAGACAGTGATCATTCCCGTGCTTCAAACTGTCAGTGAACCAAATTTAATTGCATTCGGGTGAATGGTCTAGGACGGATAAACAAACATTCAATTATTTAATTGTACTTTATTTACGTCACACAAGAGTTACACAATGAGCTATTGGCTACGGTCTGGGAAACATCTCTGTGTTCGAAGACATACCATCACAATTTTTATCTTCTGCAGATGGCAGATGGCTCTTCTGCTTTGGTAGCCCAACAACCTGCACGCGAAATTGAGCACTTTATGTTAGAACAGTTTAACTAATACCGTGAATCCTCAGTTCCTTTGCAGGCTGATAAAAGTGGCACTACTCACCGCAACCAGAGATGCTTGACTTTGGTGTTCTACTGGGAACTGTGCCTTTACGGTTAATACATATCGGGGATATATATATATATATATCTATACATCATANATATTTATATATACATACATATGTTCCCGCCATTTATGAATTTAGATGTACATGTTGCACTTAAATAATTGAAAAATACATCTTTAAGCTTTGTTTTGTAACTCAGTTTCCAAAGCATACTAATCATCACTTTACAACATTATCAAAACATTTAAACTGCTTCAAATAATTATTTTTAATAACTGTACATTTAAAACCACCGGGGCACATTATCAAATAATTACAGCATCCACTTATACGTGCTAACAAGTTTCGAGCTTTACAATTAAATGGCTTTTTTTCCTTGATAATTTCCCTAACCTAATTAATCATAAATTATTCTAAAAATGCCAAAATTAATAAAGCATTAATTAGTAAAATTTTCTGTGGTTAGGTTTATACCTAGTAAAAATATCTATAATTAAACTGAGGAAGCAGTTCATTTAACAACTATTAGACTCAGATTATTAAAACAAAACATAACATATAATTCTGATTGTCTAATATGCTTGCAAAAATGGCCAAATGAATGCATATTTATCAGTTGTGAAAAGCATATTTAAATTTTCATCTAAAAAAGAATATCTCAAAAGAAAGAAAGACATCGACCTCATATCATCTTAAAGAATTATTGCTCATCTTCCCTGACTTGGAAGAAAAATAACAACATAAATCAATTTCTTCGTTAGATCAAATGTCTTAATAGAAAAAAAAAATTCTTAGAATATCAAGGCAATGCATGATTTTGCAGAACTAGAACTGCCTAGAGCTAATCGCTTCACGAACAATGTGCCGCAAGTGTGTTACGTGCGCCAAACATATTAATAAGAATGATTAATTTATTTTTTTAGATCAAAATAAGAAAAAACGTATTTTTAAGCATTGAAATGCACTGCTTTGACAAAAACAAGCAAATCAGATTCTTTAATTAAAGTTCCACCATTAATTGAAAAAAAATCTTTTATTATTATTTGCCTTATTTTTATCAAACTCTCAGAAAATCTGCTTAACATTAAATTGTGGTACTTGCATCATAATAGTGCAAACTGCTGCAAACTTAATATGGGGTCAAATTGAATCAAGTTTAATTAACCATAGTTAATTAAAGTTCACTAAACCGAAAATTAAATTTAGTTTCGTACAACCAAGAAGGGTTAAATAGCGGATAATACGGATCACATAGACCTCTCAGTAAGGAAATTCGAATGATATTATGGCTCATCCAACACAGTTTGAAATTTTAAACACTGTAAATACTTTATTTTGAAAATACCTCCTGTTTTAATTGTATGTTTAATCATGCACTTTATAGGCTATTTAGTCACATGCATTTAATACCGAATTGTGTGTCAATTCATAAACTCTTTTAGAGTAAAAATTACAAATGCGATCATTTTCTAATAAAAATCAAACTCTTGACTAAACTAAATCTCAGAATCTAAACATTTCGTTTAAATAAATAAACTTTAGCCTTGCCTCCTGAGTTCGATAAAGGATTTTTTATCTCCAAATCTGGAATACAAGCAATTACAATACAAATCAGTTAATTCTATATTATTCGATGAGAAAATGGAGATATCTGACAAATTTTCATTTAAATATGTCCAAATGCTTTAATGGCACAAGATTTAAATGTTAATATATTTATAAAGGAAAAATACCTAATAAGTCAATTAGAAATTTATGTTAACATTTTTCTTTATAATAACAAACATTGCTTTAATAACAATGAAAATAAATAAATAAATAGTTTAATGAAAATGTAAGATAATTTGTCCATTAATAATACAGTAGAACTCGGATATAACATCACTAATGAACAACGATTTCCTGCTTTTAATGTCTTTTCAGCTTGGTACCATTACCTTTCTCATATCAATAACGTAAAAAAAAAAAAAAAAAAAAAAAAAAAAAAAAANAAAAAAAAAAAAAAAAAAAATACCGGTATCTAGAACGTCTTTTTATACTATTTCTCTGAAGTACCAGCAAGTTGAGTCTTGTACAACTTCTATTATCCAACAAAAAAGAAAAATAAAGGTGCTAGAAGCTTTAAATTTAATATCATCCTGGTGGAAAAATTTTTCTAAATACTGTATCGTTAATGATTTCAGAAAATGTAATTTTACATCACTGGACATTTCAGAAAAGAATGCTGATATTGATGGCATTTCAGAAGTGATGAAGAAGACTGAATTTTTAGATTCACCCTCATTTATTGAGTGACTGAAAATTTTCTTCCAAGGACAAGAAGAAGAAACGGATACCCCAGATTGTTGAAAAATTCATGTCGTCCGAATAATAATAAAAAAGAAGATAAAAAAAAAATGTTGGATTTTTTTTTACTGCAATAACAAAGGGAAAAACATTTTTGTTCTGTTGCATGAAATTTTTTAACAGATCATAAATACTTTCATATCGTTGATGTTAAATATGCAATAGGTTTTTCTTTCTCCAAGCTACAGATTATTTTCAATGACATTTTAAAAACGTTATATATAACGAGGTATCGCACTGCAAAAAGCTTCTAGGGAAGTTAGGGCACATCATCAGGTTTAAAACTGCATAGGATCCCATGCTCGTCATACGCCGTAAGGGGAGCTGACCCTATTACGAACTGTTTCTTCGTGTGCTACTGAGTAGGTCATCATAGGGAGGCGCTCTGAGCTACGTACGATTATATTTCTGGACAAGGGTTCCTACACAAATTTAATCCTGAAAATGTGATCTAACTCCTCTTGATGTTTGTTGCAACATATACGCTACCCCTTGTTATATCTAACGTTTTTAAACTTGTACATTTAGACAAAAAATAAACTAAAAATGTCATTTAAAAAAATATGTAGCTTGGAGAGATTGCAAATTTGATTGCATATAGAGATTCAACCCGATTGCATATTTGTAATTCCCACATCCGAATTATGCAAGATCAAGTATTTGTATAATTGCAACAAACAGTTTGTTCCCCAGTTTAATCTAAGTTTGTCGCTTAGCAAAATAAGTTACATTAAATTTTTATATTATATTTAGGTATTTAACAAAATATAATTAAATTTGTACGCATTTAAATTTTACTTTTTAAGGGAATTTTCATGCACCCGATATAGCAACGTTTCTTTATTAACAACATTTTTGTGACGAATGTCGTTAAATCCAGGCTCTACTGTATTTATCTCCCATTTAAAGATTTTTTTCCTAAGCCTGCTATTTATTCTGTCCAAGACACATAATTAAATATATATATATGGTCATGTTATGTATTAAGTCCAAAAGAAAATAAATAAATTGAAGGGTTTAAGGTAATATTGTGATAAGCCACATTTTTTAAACGATATTTTTATATTAAATTGCTCTTTAGTATTGTTTCAAGATAAGAATTTCGCATGTTTCCAGAATTTCCACAACATAACACGGTACACTGAAGCATTTCTTTCTTTACCTGAGAATAGTGGTGTTTTCTATTAAAAAAAATTTAAAAAAACGCTCTACTAATCAATTAAAAAATGTGGCTATCATTTTATTGCATAAAAATTCAAATGTAATTTTAAAGTGATATACTTACTATCCGACGAAGCAAGACAGATTAAAATAATCAAATAAAAAATTCCAGAAATCAAAGTTAGCATGATTGAGATCCTATATATATCTATAAAAAGAAAATTTATTTTTAGTAACATGAATTCTATATTCGACACATCAATATTTTTCAATGTTACATACCCCAGCTGGAGATGTAATGGACTCCTATATCAGAGGGATTAGGCATGAATTGAGTTATTCAGTGTGCGAACGTTGATTTATTTAACTCCTTTAGAAAGAAAAGTTATGAAGCAAAAAAAGTTATGAAGTGGAATTTTTTTAAAATTTGATTTATTATTTATTTGTTCATTTTGTTAAAGTGTATATAAGGTGTGGAGATTCATACAATGCAATTAAATACAAAATAATAAGGACAAGGGATAAGAGATATTATTTTTGAATGTTCTAGTAAATTTTTAGGAGGAGAAGGGGAATTTTCGAGAATTTGGCATGATTGATTACATTGGGACAATAGCACTTGGCAATGAAAAATAGGAACCTTTAAAATATTTCTATCGCATTCACTTCACCAAAGAGAATTTCAGCATTTAACAACAGCAAAACAGCATTTAATAACAATGGAACTGATAAATTATCTTTATTAATTAGCATATTATTGCAATAAAAATATTGCCACTTTCGTCATATTAAAAAAAAACTACACAACCCTTTGATACAATTCAACTCAACATCAATGAGTAGAATTATTAAACATTCAAGTTCTGAATGACTCAACTCCAAAACCTTCAATACAACTCACTTCAATATCAAGGTGTGAAAAAAAAATACTCAGGGACTGAAAAACTGGAAATCCATAACAACCCCTAGACATGGAAATCTCTAACATGGAAATCCATAACAACCCCTAGACTGCAAAAAGATCTAGATCAAATTATGGTAAAAAGTACTAGAACCCTGAGTGCAGAATCCGCGTAAAATCCAGTTTTATCGGAAAATTTTATACCGCAATTTTTACAGCAATATTTATTTATTAAGAGTGATTCCGTGATTTTATAGTAATATTACTGTAAAAATTTCTTGATATCAGATTTTCTATTCCGTTAAATTTTGCAGTGAGATGTTCTGGCACCCTGAGCATTTTTTACCATAATTTGATCAGGGATTTTTTTGCTGTGAACTTACCTTATGATTACAGAAACTCCTTCGTTACAAATAAACGAATCGGGAATTTATAAGCAATCTAAGTAAACTAAACATCATACTGTAACATATCGTACACTGAGGAAAAAAAATTATGATCAAAATTACCATTATATTGGTAAATTTACCGTGTTTCTGGTTCTATAGGAACACCAAAGAGATCGATAATTTTTAATGAAGCGTTTTGGTATTGATTTTGGTAAAATTAACAATAAATATGATTTTATATTTCTTTAATAAAATCTGGTATATGGGATAATATTTAGTAATTTTAAATTTTATCACGACACTTTAGTATGGCATAAAAACCAATTATTTGTTTTATCAGTTGAATTGAATTTCAGTTTTGTATTTTTTACTAAATACGTGGTAGTGAGAACTATAATTCTAAAAACCAGAATTTCTGGTAAACCCTTACCACATGAAAAGAAAAACTACTAAATGACGGGTTAAAATACCGTATATTTTGGTTTTATTAATCAGGATTAAGTTTTTTTTTTTTTTTTTTTTTTTTTTTTTTTTNTTTTTTTTTTTTGGAAATGTCATCACAATATAATAAGGTAATTATACCAGAATTTGCTTTGTTTCTCCGTTTAATATATGTGTATGATAAATGATAAATCTAAAAAAAACTTCAAAATGATCATTTTGCGGGATTTGATACGAAGTTATTAACATTTAACATGATTTACAAATTACACTGCTACTTCTCTTATGAAAAGTTTTATAGATTTTCGTAAATATTTTTAAACAAGTAATTAAATCAAAACTGGTTTCGAAAGAAATTTAACAGACTTGTTGATTTAAAGATACAAAATACGAGTGCAAATAAAAATTCATTATTATTTTAATATATAATAAATTGGATTTTTTAAATAAAAAAATTATGAAATCTGTGAATCCACGCATTCACTTTAAACTTATATTAGACACAAAGCTTGTTTAGTGATTATTTACAATTATTTTGTTATTTAATTAAAAGATAATAAATTTGGTTTAATTATTCGTTATATTGATCTGCAAATATTTCACGTAGATATAAGAAATTTTAGGAACTTTGCCTCATTTTGATCAAAGATATGACATTTTTAAAATTTGTATTTCTTGAAAAATATTTGACGAAGTTCCTTGAAAACTTGATGATTTTCGCCTAAATATCAATTATCCGGCGTATTCATATGTCAATATGCTGGATAATTGAACTAAATTTAGGTTAATAAATTAATTAAAAAATTAAAAGTAAAGTCTCCATTTCAAATGAATGCTTGCATTAATATATTTTGAAAATTTTATGTTATAGTTCACTGTTTATGGATAGTGAACTTTTATACAAATTGCACTATTTTGTGAATGTATGAATTTAAAAAATTATAAAAATTTAAAATTTTTAACCTTAAAGTTTCCTTGATGACAAAATTTAGCCTCGTTTAGTAAAACTTATTACCTGCCTTTAAAGTTAAATATGAATTGTCTCTATGACGATATATACTCGAAAATATGTTAGTAAATTTGTAATTGACACATTGACACTGAATTCAACGCCGTTTTATACATTTTATGATATCTGTGTGATTGTATTTAAACAGATGGAAAGCACGACTTAATTTAACTTTGTTTGAAAAATAATCAATTAATTAAACAATTGAATCTCCACTTGTAATAAAAGAAAGACTCATAAATAAATGGTTCAAAGACCTAGGTATATACTTTAGTAATAATCCTTATGATTTTAATTTACCACGTGTGCAATATTAGACAAAGTTCTTTCTCTCTGCAAACTTCGATTTTAGCAGCAAAATTAACCCACCTCTAGTTATTGCACGGTTTGCTTCTTGACTCAATGCAAAATCTTTTTAACCTTAAAGTTTAATTGTTAACAAAAATTTATCCTCGTGTAGCGAATTAAACTTATTACTTGCCTTGGAAGTTAAAGTTGGAAGTTGCGTCCCTCGAAAATATGTTAGTAAATTTATATGTGATGCATTGACGTCGAATTCAACGGCGTTTTATACACTGTATGATACTGATGTGATTCATATTTTCATTTCCTAAGGCTATTCAACTTCATTTTAAACAAATACATTTGTATTTAAACAGATGGAAAGACTCAACTTAATTTAATTTTGTCTGAAAACTAATCAACTAACTTCAATTGAATTTCCACTTGTAATAAAAGAAAGACTCATAAACAAAAAAATAGGTCAAAGACCTAGGTTTATATTTTAGTGACATTCCTTACGATTTGAATCTATCTCAGTGCAAAATTAGACAAAGCTTTTTCTTTCTGTAAATATTGATTCTAGCAGTAACATTAACCCACCTCTAGTTATGGCACGTTTTGCTTTTTGACTCAGTACAAAATCTTTTTAACCTTAAAGTTTAATTGTTAACAAAAATTTATCCTCGTGTAGCGAATTAAACTTATTACTTGCCTTGGAAGTTAAAGATGAATTGCGTCCCCGACGTTCTGTATTCGAAAAAATGTTAGTAAATTTGTATGTGACGCATTGACGTCGAATTCAACGACGTTTTATACACTGTATGATACTGATGTGATTCATATTTTCATTTCCTAAGGCTATTCAACTTCATTTTAAACAAACACATTTGTGTTTAAACAGTTGGAAAGACTCAACTTAATTTAATTTTGTCTGAAAAATAATCAACTAACTTCAATTGAATCTCCACTTGTAATAAAGGAAAGACTCATAAACAAATAAATAGCTCAAAGACCTAGGTTTATATTTTAGTGACATTCCTTACGATTTGAATCTATCTCAGTGCAATATTAGACAAAGCTTTTTCTCTCTGTAAATGTTGATTCTAGCAGTAACATTAGCCCACCTCTAGTTATTGCACGTTTCGTTTCGTGACTCAATACAAACAGCTGTGCATCTTAAAACCTCTTTTCATCTGTCATTCGCCTCGAAAGGTAGATCAAAAAGTGTGATTTATAACAACCTCGATAAGTTTATGAAACGGCTTAAGGGATAGATTATTAATGTAGACCACAATTCTTATCAAATAGTCTAATATCGGAATAAAGAATAGATGTAACAATTTCTTGCTGAATGAAAGCTTTTATAGTGTTGTATCATAAAACGCTCCATTATTAGTGCTTTTTGAATAAAAATCCTTGTGTTATTATGTTTATATTTTTTTTCACGTAGGAATGGCGTTTGGAATCTGAAAAATTTTAATTTGCATGTTAATTTGTAATTATTAAATTTTAATTTGATGTTCGGTGAATTGTTCTTAATATTTTATAATCTGCATTACAGTGTCGGGTATTCTAAAAATTTAACACTAGAAAGACTGAAACTTAGTATATACTTAGTATTGCCCAAAAACAGTCAAAATAACTGCATTGTGAAAGAATAACTAATGTGCAAAGAAATTCGTTTAATCAGTTTTTAATATTTTTTATATTATATACAGTTATATAACAAGTTATTAGTAAATATTAATAATAAAAATTTTTATTTCACTTGGAAAGAAAATATTAATTTATGCATTATTATTTGTGCATATTTTGCACATGAAAAAGCAGTTAAAAAGCAGTCAGAATAACTTCATTTAGGCAACCTAGTCATAAATAAATTCAGTATGGGTAGTATTTTTAGGATGTAAGTATTATAGTAGTTTTTTTTTTTTTTTTTTTTTTTTTTTTTTTTTTTTAATAAAAATGGAAAGTTTCCTTAAGCGAACACAGTAAGAATGGTTATTTTTGGGATCAGTAAATAGTATGACAATCAAAAATTTCTTGAAATGAATACTACATGACTAGTATTAATAGTATGGCAATTAAAAGTTTCTTTAAATGAATACCGTATGACTGGTATTTTTTGGGATAAGTATACTACAGTATAACTTTTTTTTTTAAACTACAAAAGAAAAATTAATAAA